AATACAATTCTGAAGAATCTTTTGAATTTAGTGCTTTCTCTCCTTCTTAAAGTCCTTTCGTTTTTTCAGTCCCGTTATATTAAAACTTATTTTAAAAGTATTAAAAATAAAATACTATTTTATTATTTATACCGTACTACTTAAAATAATTCAATCAAAGAATGACAAATAAGTAAAATTCACATCAACAATAAAATTGTAGTCTATATAAAAAAACAGTTTTACACAGAAGTTATTCAAATTTTTTAAATTAAATCCACTTTTACATTTATTTAAAAAAAACTGTGTTTTTGGGACATCTTACCCTAGAAGAAAATAACGAGTGGAAATGTGAAAATTCAAAGGATTATTATCTTCTTTTTAGATAAAGAATCGAATTTTTTAAAGTTATTATTATTATATTTTTAAAAAATTATAATAAAGAAATTCTTAGAATTAATTTTTTTAAAAATATTTTTAAAGAATTTTTTAAAGAATTGTCTTTTTAAATATATATACCTATACAATTAAGAAATTTTCAAACAATTGAATTTTGGTAAAATCTTTTAAAAATAATTGAATTTTTGAACAATATAAAATAAATAATCAAATTATTGAAGAATTTTAATTAAAAATATAAACATTATTTCTCCGAAATTTTAATAAGAATCTAAAGGAGCAAATTAAAAAAAATTTAATTTACTTTGTTCGAAGATACGTAAATCTTAATTTAAAAAAAAACTAAGTAATTTTTTGAAGAATTTTAATTAAAAATTTTCACAATGATTTGTGAAAATCATTTTCTCCAAAATGTTAAAAATAATTCTGAAAAATTTTAGTGTTTGTATTATTTTTTGTACCTATGTATTTGAATTTTCGGAATTATGTTTTTGAAAATATGAAAAATAATTGAATTTTAAAAATTTATAATAAAAAAAATTCTAAGAATTAATTTTTTTTAAAAAAATTTCAATATAATTTTTTAGAAGATAGTTTTTATTAATTTTCATTTTCATAAATTTACACTCAAAGATTTTTCATTACATTTCTTAAAAAATTCAATTATTTTCACAAAATTTACAATTAAATTTCATCAATAGTTGATTTTCAAAAATTGTAATATTGTATTGTAAAATTGTAATTTCTTGAAAAAATAAATTATTTTCAATTAAATTTTACAAAATTTCAATTCTTTCAAATCTTTTTAATTGTATGTTTACAAAAATTGAATTAGAAAAATATTCACAAACAATTTTTCAAAGATTTGTCTATAATTATTTTCCACACTAGAAAAATCGAAATAATTTCCAATTTCTAATAAAAATGTGGTTTTTTCATGCAATATTTGGGAGAAAAGTCGCATTTTTTAAAAATAGTCGAAAAAAGTAAAAAAAAATTATAATATCCGAGGCCTGGATATAGTAAATAGAATAGAAAAAAATTTTATATTATTTAAAAATTGAATAAGGACAAGTACAGTAAGATTATGAATAAGATTTTCAGTTTTTTGAAAATTTATGACTAAAATCTAGAAATAACGTAAACCTACATGAAAATAAAGAAATGCAAAGAAGTTTTAATTTCTCAGTATCATTTAGACTTACAATTATTGAATCGAAGTTGTAAAAAATATGGTTAGCTTAGAAATAATAATAAATTAAAATAAAATAAATCTTTAAGTATTAAATTTTAATAGGAAGTATCACAAGATTTTAATAAGTAACAAACTACCAAAGAACAGTCGACATTGAAATTTAAATTTTGTTTACAATTTTAATTTGTTATACACAAAATTAGAAAATTATGTTAAATTATTATTATTATTATTATTATTATTATTATTATTATTATTATTATTATTATTATTATTATTATTATTATTATTATTATTATTATTATTATTATTATTATTATTATTATTATTATTATTATTATTTTATTATTATTATTATTATTATTATTATTATTATTATTATTATTATTATTATTATTATTATTATTATTATTATTATTATTATTAATAAATTGAATAAAAATAAGAAGTAAATTATTGAAAAGTAAATATGAATTTTTTTCAACTATTAATTTATATTTATAAACATTTTAAAACTTTTTTAATTTGTTTCAAGTGGATCGCAGGGGTAAACACCAAACTCAAAACAATACTAAGTTGCTTTTAATTAGCTTAGTTCTATAAACTAAGAACTAAGAACTTCAAGTTTTTTTTCTTATTTTTACTTAAATTAATAAGAATACAGATCTGGTGCAGATTAACACCAAATTTTTGGGGCAATTTATACACGGGAAGTCGAACAAGTAACTAACTTTTACTCTGTTATACATATTGTCTAAATCCACCACTTTTCTGCCTTTGAAATAAAAAGTATTGTTAGTAACACAGGCATATTTTTGCCATTGATTATAACAATTAAATTTCAAAGAACAACAAAAAGTAATTTTTTCATAGATCTCAAAAAATTCTTTTCTTAAATATATTTGCAAAAAATGTATTTTTGAAAATTTTTTAAATGCGATAAAAACATTTAATTCTTACTGACTTAAAACACAAAGTCTTACTTATTTTGTGTCTCCCAAAAAATTTAAAAAATGCATCCTTTATGTCAATACAACTTGAGATATTTATGAAAAAAGTAATGTTTACATGCGCACACATACACACTGAATAAAACTTTGGGTTATAACTGTAATTTTCGACTTTCTTAGGTCAAAGGACATAAGGAAAAGTAAAAAAATCCAGTTTTTAAATATTTTCGGTAAAATAATGCTTCCACGAGTGAGCAATTATTCACAACATTGTTTTAATTAATAATGCCAAAACTACATTTTCTCTATTGTCATTTAGTTATACTAAAAACAATAAATTATTATTCTAAAGAACAGTCAATTTATATTATAAAATGTATTTGAGGGACTGATTGTAAAAGCGGTTTATAATAACAACTGGAGAAAAATTAGGATAAGTGATTTGGGAGCAAAAAAGGGATAAAATGATTGATAAATTTATCAATAAGTATATTATACTAATGATGACAAAATATTAGTTGTAATATAATAAGTATTTTTTTACTAATGTTATAAATATATATTATTTATAAAAAAATGTTAAATAAAATTTATTCGTTAAAGCAACAGACATAGTACTAAAAATAGTTTCTTATTTTTTGTTTCAGTGACGGGATGAAATAATCAATTAAAACTATTTGTTCCTGCTCCAAATTTAAAGTCTAAAAGTCATTTAAAAAAAATTAAATTCAAAGTATACTTTCGTTTCTAATATATGGCAGAATATAAGGATTAGAAATAATGAACAGATTTTAATTCATTTTTGTAGTAATATCCTATATGATTGGCGCCTAGATACAACCAAACAGCTATTTATCATTTTAAAGACTCAATTAGTAAAAGGAACTGAGGATAATATTAAAATCTTTAAATATTAATTAAAAGTCAATTATATAATTATACTCTCAATTTTAACAATTACATTTATAACTAGTAAATTACAATTATAAACTAATAAGAGATACTATTAGTTTTTAATTATAATTTTAATAGTAATTATTTGTATTATTCAATATTATTTTTGCACATAAAAATTCTTTAAATTCTGAATTAGAATGTGAAAAAAGTGAAAGTTTTCATTATGTATTAAAACAAAAGACTGTCAATCCACCAGAATCATTTTATAGATATTAGTGTTTAGAGAAGATGACATCTGACAGTTGACATTGATTCTTTTTGGAAATATTTTCAAAAGTTATAATTTAGATACCCAAAAAATTGTCAGGATACATGGAGAAAAAGGATTATTACATTGTCAACCGGATTTTTAGAAACTGAAATTAAAAACGGACACACTGTATGGAGATTATATTAAGGACTAATACCTCGTCGACTTCGTTGCTTCCACCTTTTCATTCAACATGATCCTTTTATTTAATAATTTATTAATATTATATTAATATATAATAATTAATTTAAAATTAATTTAATTTTTATTTAGTTTCTAAAGTTAAATTAATTAAAATTAAATAAAAATTACAACTCCAATGATATTGAAAAGAGCGACTGTGGCTCCATCTCTTAGGTGTATGTGATTTTTTAAGGCACTAAATTTCATTTGGAAATATTTGTTCAAAATATTTGTCTTTATTTTATCGCAAATGTCTTTCTTAACCCTCTGCTGTTGCTAACGACCGGTGTTGTCAAAAATCGTCAGATTTGTCACCTGGTGGGGACTACAGGATTTTATGGCGTTAGAGTGGGGATAAGTTAGCAACTTCAGATGGTTAAAAAAGATTCCCGAAATTGTAAGACATACAACTAATTATAAAAATTCTGAAATATATTCTTCATATGTAATTTTGTTAGTACATTATAATAATTATATTTTCTATTTAAAAATAAAATGTACTGCAAATGTTCAAAAATAATAGGGTCTTAATTTTATTACAAGAAACCTTTGATAGTTTACTGATTTCACCTAAAAAATCTACCTAATTAGGTGAACATGTCTGGGCAATCGAAATAATCTGAAAATAAACATTGTTACATTGAAAAAAAATTTATTTGTTTAAAGTAACAGTATACTTATCTATTATCAAATATTTACTTGAATTAAATAAATTTAATTTACTTAAGTTAAATAAATTGTATTTGAACCAATAATTTCAGTATTTGAAGCAAATACCATTTAACTGACTCAAATAAAAATTATTTGATTCAAGTAAATATTTATTTGATGACTGAAAAGTAATCGGTTATTTAAATCGAATAATTTTTTTGTAGTGTATTACGGACAACTTTAAAACCATTGGCATATTTTACACTAAAAAATTTATACGTAAAATAAATATTAAAATTAAAAAAGTGTTAAAATTTTATAGCAAGTAGGTATATAAGTTAATAACAGGTAAGTTTCAAAGGTAGGTCAAGAAAAATCAGTAACTGCATAGTAAGAAAAATTATCTTAATTTTTTTTTAAATTAATGAGAACTTACATATAAACAACGTGGTATCCAGAGTGGAATTTTTGTTGCCTTCAAGTTTATCACGAAAAAATTGATTCACTGTAAGAAACACTTTTGAAATTTCCGTCAAGCACAATTACACGATGCACGTGGGTATAGGTACAAATGAAAAACCAAAAACAGAAGAGAAGAAAGATAAAATTAATACTGGACCTACAATTACTTAGTCCACGTAACAGTAAAAACATCCATAGTTATTCCAAAATCCATGATAAACAGCAGCTAATTTTAATTAGAACTGATTAAACATACACAGATGACACATAAGTACATTAAATAACAACAGTATTCCTAAGTGTTGATTATTTTTTGGTCAATACACTTGATTCAACTTTTTGGAACCAGCAATAATAGTTAACTTCACCACTGAATTAAATTACAACTTTCGTAGAATCATCTTTTAAATGTTCAATCGCACTTTCTTCAACTGTTTTCTGTTTTGTTTATTAGATTTCAGTTTGTTTTCTTAATGTTGTTTTTGTTGGTTAACGATTTCACTTTCCATATCAAAAAAACAATGTTTGAAACGTCATTAAATTAAATAAATAATTAATACCCAATTTTTAAATTAAATAGAGAATTTTATTAAAACTTAGATGTTGTGATTTTGAGTTGAAGTAACTTTCATTCTACACTCTATAATACCACACTTCGCTTGCCCAAACACGAGGTGAAATGCAACTAATTTCTAAAAGTAGGCAATGAAGAACCGAACTGGATGGCCTGCGGGCCCTTACTGTGAGGGGCCTTACAGGTAGACCCCCTACTCTGAGAATTTACTTTATTGGTAGGATGCACTCGTCCCTCTCCATTGGTAGAATTACCTTCCTCCGTTCTTGTAACCACCACCTCCAACATCAATATTAACTGATTCTTTCTCCTTTCTTATTTGCTAGTTATGTGTGCTATGGAAAGGTCCTTGGGTACCTGTACTGTAAACATTTCCCTATGTTCAGGAAGAAAAGTGGATGTGAGTTTGCTCTTGACTTCATTACTCTATAGTTCTCGCCTCAAGGAAATGTTATATTTCTCAGAACTCCCACAATGATTATGAATTTTAATCAAAGCTGTTCTTATTTTAACTTCATTGTTTATAATAATAATAAACAATTCTGCTACTCAAAAAACATAAGATTTATTTTCTAAAATGAAAAACTGACCTACACGGAAATAAAAATTTAATTGAATCAAGAAAATTTGATTTGGTTGAAGTAATTATCGGGATTGCATAGGGACCTATGCTAGTCAATTATGGTATTGGATCAAAAAATATAATTTTCTTGGCATAGTATACTTGGTAGGAGAACATATGTTCCGGATCTAAGAAAATATATGGAATTCGACTAAGAAATTAATCAACATGTAAAAATACAATGGCTCTATAGATTTAAACCAAAAAGAATATTTTCTTAATACAAGTAAATATTTACTTAAATTCCCCTCCCCATTACCTTCATCCCACCGTGCCTAATTATTAGGTCAAAGATTTTTCTTACAAAAAGGTAAGAAAATTTGAGACAATTTTGATAATATGTTGAGTAGAATAAACATTATTCAGCTAAATATTAAAAATTATAAATATTAATTAAATAAGTGATAGTTTTTAATATTTAGCTAAATAATGTTTATTATACATATATGGGGAGGTCCAGACCAACTCAACATATTATCAAAATTGACATTTTTAAATTGTCTTAAATTTCCTTATTTTTTGTACACCTCGAAGAAGAGGTACATGGTTTTTTTTTAATTTATTTTCAAACCTTTCTTAAAATATGAATTTTTCAAAATGTTACATTACAAAATTTTCTTTTTTAAATGCTTATACACTGAGAGACCGTCATTAGCGAAAATTACAAAAAAAACTTGAAGTAAAGTGTGGAAATATAATATAAAAACTGAGAAGTTAAATAAAATTTTTCTTAATTCTTTAATTGCAGTTTACAATAAATAAAATTTTTTTAGTCATTTTCAAACAAATGTAGTTTTTTAACAAGTGATCACACAAATATTTCATGCAATGTATTTAAAAGCTCAGTTTATTCAAATGATTTTTTAAAAATTGTTTTACGATAATTTTTAAGAAAGTTTCGTCATTTGTTTAAAAAACAGCCTATTTTTTAAATTGTTGATAATTTATAAACAGTTAATTTAAAAAAGAAACTTTGACCATAAAAAAGTTTATTTTTATACGTAAAATGAAAAAAAAAAACATTAAAACTTTTTTATATAAATAAATTTTTTTTGCTACCACTTTTTTTCATGTTCGTGCGTCGGGTAAATGTGACCTAAAAATTCCATTGTACTGGCCCAGCACAAGTAAGTTACGATTAGTAGGTTAAATTTAACAAATTTTAAAAATGATATAACCCGTTCTTCAAAACAAAATTTATCTTTAAAAGCTAATATCAAAGCCCGCTTATTTAATTATTATAAAGCATGGTGAATAATTTATTGAATATTAATAATTATTGGGTCAGATCATTATATTTCGACTAAAGTCGTTGCGGCCTAATTTTTAAAAAATTGATACTTTTAGAAATAAATCTGTATGATCTCTGGAGAACGAAATGAAAACAATTATTGTTAAAATATTTATTACTTTTCTTAAAATATGAGTGTAAAGTGGAGAAGGTGCTGAAAAATGGCACTTTCTTAGTAATCAGAAAATATTTTAAAAATCATAGAAAAATTCTTAAAAGTGCAAAAAGAATTATTGATTCATATATTTAAAATTAGTGGATTAATTATTTTTTAATAATAAAACTAGTGGAAATATAAAAATAATAATATTATTTTTATATTTTTTATTTTATATATTATATAAAATAGGTTTTTAAAGTCGATTCGCCAAATAACCTAATTTTGCCGTTTTTATTAATTAATTACAAGAAGGTGGAATTATTGAATTAAGGGGGGGGGGGTAAGGTCTAAACGGTGAAAAAATGCATGTTTTTAAGATTGTTTTGGCGATACGCAGAAAGTTAATTTATTTTATCGTTTTGCATATAATATTGCAACATTTGAACAATATTTCTTTAAATTTTAATTAAAAAATATTAAGAATTGAGCGAGATAATGAGATTTTCCTCAGGCGCCTCCAAAAAAAATTGATTTGCGGTGTACACTCTAACTCGCAATAGAATCATCTAAAACAAAAAAATCAAAGTGCATGTTAAAGGGGATGTTTTTTGAAGTAACGCTGGGAGGCATTTTTTTTATTTTTCGATTTTTTGTAGCACACTTGAAAGCTAAAAAGTCGATTTTCGCTATAAAAAAATCGATTAATTTTGGCAATTTTACAAATTTTCAATTTTTCGAATTGTCATTTATACGAAATGTCATTATTACGAATTGTCACTTTTGCGAAAGATTATTTTTACGAATTGTCATTTTTACAAATCGTTATTGTAGCGAAATGTCATTTATCCGAATTGCCATTTTTACGAAATGTCACTTCTGTGAATCACCATTTTTACCAATCGTCACTATTTCGAATTGTCGCTTTTGTGAAATGTCATTTTAGCGAATTGACATTTTCACGAATTGACATTTTTGCAATTCGTAATAATGCCATTTCGTAAAAATGACAATTCGCAAAAATGGCTTTTCGGTCAAATGACAATTAGCAACACCGACGATTATTCATAAAAATGATAATTCGCATAAATGACGATTTGGAAATCCGACATTTCGATAAAATGAGCTTTTGTTAAAATAATAACAATTCACAAAAGTTCCTTTTCGAAAAAATGTTAATTCGATAAAGTGACTTAATTGAAGTGGGGAACATCCTTGGCACCTATTTTAGTATTTATAAATAAAATATTAAATTAAAATTGCTATAGTTATCATTTAACATTGTTTAAACAATTCATTGTTGTTATTCCTATATATTAACTTTTTACCTATACCACATAGAAAGATGCAGTTTTTTACTAATTTTGCAATTTTCGGACCTACTTATAAAAACCGATGAATGTGAAATGTCAAATCGATATTTTAGCAATTGTTTAAACAAATAATTTTTGTTATTTAGTAAATTTTTTTCTATTGCACCTAGAAAGACGCAATTTTTTTTTTAATTTTGTAAGTGAGTCCACATATTGTAAAATTATATTAGAAAAACTGGATCTTTTTAGGGGAAATAAGAAAAAAGTTAATAAATAACAACAATTATTTGTTTAAACAATTTGTTAAAATATCGATTTAACATTTTATATGTATAGGTTATTATAATTGGATCCAAAAATTGCAAAATTAGAAAAAAACTGCTTCTTTCTAGGTGCAATGCGTAAAAATTTAATAAATAACAACAATTGTTTATTTAAACAATTTTATCCAATAGTTGCAAGCAATTTAACTAAATTTATTATTTGGATTATTAACTCTAGAAGGAGTGAATTTTATTGGTTTTTTTGTAAGGAAAGCAATGGACTTATTCACTTTTTGATAAATTAAAAAAAATTTGAATAATGGATAAGGTTTGAAAGATAAAAAATTATTTTTTAAGTTAGAGGCTCCAGTTACTCCTTCTAGGGTTAATTTAATACTATGTAGTAGGGGAGACTGGGGCGAAAAGTTAAATTGTGAAAACAGTTAAAATTCATTATCTTTCGAACGGAAATAGTTAGAGCATTGCAATTTTAATTATAGAAGGGTGTTATCACCCTAAATAAATGTCCGGAGTTATGTGACATTCTGCTAATTTTTGTGGTGTCCATAATTAAATTTTTTTTTACCCTACTTTTGAAAATTTTTTCGTAAAAGAAAATATCAACTTTTAAGTATATTTTTTGCATTTATTCTCACCGCGATTTTTTTACTTCATTATTTGGGTCCCCTGAAGAGATACCTGAAGGTATTTGCTAAATATCTTTAGTTAGATTTTTTATATTTGTTGTTAAAGCCAAAAACGCACCCTTGGGCGAAAAGTTAAATAATGGGTGGAGCGAAAAGTTAAATGTATTTTTACATGTTATTAAAATTTTTTTTTTATTTTTCGTTTTTTTTTGGGTTTATTTGTTTAAAAATGATTTATTTGACATTAGGCAAGTACTCTATCAAAAAACAAGACCGCTCACGTGAAATAAACCAAAAAAAATTTTTTTTTTTTTGAAATTTCAATTTATTAACTTTATAACTATTCTAAAGCTTTTGTTAAGTAAACAAAGATCTTTTATTAACTAAATTACTTGTTTACGTATACTTTAACTTATCTACTACTTCCCTAGTAGAAAAATTTGGTGGCGCTAGCATGGTGCCACTCTCGCGTTCCATTGCGCTGTACACGGAGAGAAGAGTTGCAGTAAATGTGACAGAACGCGTTTAGTAAATCATTTAGTGCACCGGTTAGTGGCGCCAACTGTATGTTTAGTATAATACACTACGACACCTCTCTGTTTAGTAGAATATACTGTTTGCTCAGTGTATCTTACTATCTTACTAAACAGTGCAGTAGATGGCACTGTCTGTACCGTCAGTCCAAACCTAACGATTCTGTTTAGTAGATTTAACTGCCATGTCAGTAGAATCTACTACGCCCTTCTTTCCGTGTAGTGGCGCTGAGAGCATTTGAAACACTTTTGTAGTCTAGCGCCTTTCTCGCATTCTGCTCACAGTGCTAGAATGAACATAACCTCACCTGCCAATACTTTATTTCACGAATTAAAAAATGATTCCTATGTCATTTCTTTTGACGAATATAATTAAAAAAATCGTGTA